TGATGGTCATGATATTATTATAAGATGTGAAACTGACATGCCTATTTTATAGTATTGTTAATTGATTTAATTGTTTTACCGTAATTATCTATAGTTAAAATTCCTATTATACTCTTCTAAAATGGTTGGTCTATATATATATATATATATATATATATATTATATATATATATATATAATATATATATAATATATATATATATATATATATATATATATATATATATTATATTAGTTGTGAAATTGATATGCCTATTTTATAGGATTGTTAATTAATTTAATTGTTTTACCGTAATTATCTATAGTTAAAATTGGTATTATATTCTTATAAAATGGTTGGTCTATATATATTTGATCCTGTCTCTTTCTCTCTATCTTTCTCTCTCTCTCTTTTATATATATATATATATATATATATATATATATATATATATATAAGGTGAGGGTCAATAGAGAATCATAATTAACAAAGAACCAATCGTGAGCGTCGGAAATCATAATGATCAATGGCCAAGGAAATAGATGTATACTTTTATATTGGATGCACACACACTGGATTATATCAAAAAAACCACCTCTTTACCAAAAAAACTCATTTCTTTTTTTTCGTTTAAAATTTTTTTTAGGCCACACTGTTTATCAAAAAAAAAAACCGAATATCCCTTGTTCTCGATTTTTCGTCTTTTTTCTATAGAGATCTATGTTAATATATTAAAAACGAACTTGTTTTTCTAAAAAAACTCACTTCATTGTGTTAGTTTTTTCAATATTTAAGTTTATGTTTATCAAAAAAAAACTAATTATACAAAAAATATTAATTTTTTGTATTCTATTAATAAATATCAACACATAATTTAAAAAAAAAAAAAAAAAAAAAAAAAAAAAAAAAACCTTGAATAGTGTAGATTTACACTATGAATTTAAACTGTAAATATTTTAATTTTCGACATTCACAATGTGAAAAAAGCTTGATCAGTTCAGATTCATATTGTCAATCTAACTTAGTATTATGCATACTATGAATTGAAGAAGGTTCAAAAAAAATCTCGAACAGTGTAGATTCACAGGTTCACAATATGAATCTGAACGGGTTCATAATGTGAATCTGAACTGAAATAACGTTTTTTTACATAAATATGAATCTATGTTTAAAAAGTACAAAAATACATGAATTTTGATATATTTATTTATTTTTTTTATATAAAAAAACACAGACCTTAATTTTTTAACAAATAAAATGAAGTGATTTTTTTTCACAAAAAAATCATTTTTTATATATTATCATCGATGTTTTTGAAAAAATAACGAAAAATCGTGAACAACGGTATACTCGGTTTTTTTAACGATAAAAGACATGGTCTAAAAAATTTTAAACGAAAAAAAAAAAAAAAAAAAAAAAAAAAAAAAAACAAAGTTTTGTTATAATCCAATGCATGTGCGTCTATTTTGAAAGTCTACAACCATTTTTTTTTTCCGTTGATAACTTTAAATTTCGACGTTTTCGATTGGCTTTTTGGTTTATTAGTTAATAATGGTTCGAAATTTTTCTTTTATATATATATAAAAGGGATGGTGGGTCCATAAGGATAAGAGTTTACTTGCAAATCAAGCTAACCATGTTCTCCATGGCAAGAGTATCATAATATGATAATCAGTAGTACTCCACATCGAAAACGCATGTGACATCGCCTCTCTTCTTTCTTTATTCATTTTAATTAATAAAATGTAGGCATCTACAAACAAGTTCATTTAACTACAAAAACATAAGAAAAACAAACAAAAATACAGTTGGTATGCCCCGACCATAGCTTTTGCTTTAGCGGTCACTACTCTCTCTAAACCGAAGTTCTTTGTGCGTGCTTTCATCTTTTCTCATATCCAACATACAAATAATCTCTCTCTCTCTCTCTCTCTCTCTCTCTCTATATATATATATATATATATATATATATATATATATATATATATATATATTCTTCGTTTATACTTTTTGATGTAAATTAATTATTATCGTTGTCTAGTTTAACAAATATAAATTTATTTATATATATGAATTTAATATTTTAAAATTATTATTTTGCTCCAAATTAAAGTTTTAGTAATCTTCTTTAATTCAAGTTTTCAAAATTATGGCAATATTAATGATTTTGTTATGCATAATTGATTTGTATAAAAAGTTTTATATCTTATACCTTTTAAAATTCAATATATGATTAATATGCTTTATATATATATATATATATATATATATATATATATATATATATATATATATATATATATATATATATTATTTTTTCAACTTTTAGAATTTATTTTTTTAAATACTAAAAATACAGAAATTCATAATTATTTATCATCTTTCCAATTATATAAAAATCACAAAAAGATTTTTTTTTTCAGTAAAATATACTTTGTGAATCTGAACTCACACGGTAAACATTCATATTGTGTAGTAATAAATTTAGCAGTTTCATTATTATTTTTTTGATAAAGAATAGACATTAAAACTTGAAGGAACATTTAGTTCATTGAAGAACATTAATTATAATTTTTTCTATCAAACTTTACCATATATATATATATATATATATATATATATATATATATATATATATATATATATATATATATATATATATATATATATATATATATATATTTCAAATAAAAACAATGTGACAATGTAAAAACACCATGTTAATGTTGTTATTTTATAATGAATGTTTAATATATGTATTGTTGAAGTAATTCCAAAATGAATATTAACGTTTGATTATTCATATTTATATTTGTACATTTTTATAGTAAATTATAATTTGGGTTTTAATATATAACTATTCATTTATTCATTGTTGAATAATGACATAAAGTTGTTGATACAAACTTCATTCCAAAATAATAAAATAAAAACATTGTTTTTACGTTCTCACACTATTTACTGTTTTTATTTTAACTATCTTCTATATATATATATATATATATATATATATATATATATATATATATATATATATATATATGTGTGTGTGTGTGTATGTGTGTGTGTGTGTGTGGCCGCTATAATTAAAAAAAATATAGGTAGATGATGAACACAAAAGAAAAAAAACAAGATAAACAGAAGGTCTAGGTATTAAAAAACCGTGCGGATGTATTATTTCTATCACATTATGCTAGTAAAAAAAGGAGTAAATTACACGAATGGTCCCTATGGTTTGGGGTAATTTGCACGTTTAGTCCATAACTTATTTTTTTAACTCGGAAAGTCCCTACTATTTGTTTTTGTTACGCGTTTGGTCCTTACTGTTTGTTTTTGTTACACGTTTGGTCCATATCTTACCTAAAAAGACTATTATTTAAAAAGAGAAAAATTGTGTGGTAGGTAAGGTAAGGTGAATGACATGGGATTGGGTGTGTGTTTATTTAAATAAATCAAAAAACCAAGGGAAAAATAGTATTTTTAGGTAAGTCAGGGACCAAGCGCGTAACAAAAACAAACAGTAGGGACCTTCCGAGTTAAAAAAATAAGTTAGGGACCAAACACACAAAAGACAAAAGAAAAAGAACTTGGATAATAAACTCAAAGGATAATGACTTAGGATGGTAATAACGTTTCTCATTTGTCCATTTTAGGTCCTTAACGTTTTTTTTTTTTTTTGTATTACACCATTAAGGTTTTAATAACCGTTTATAAATAGTCATTTTACCGGCTTCTTCCTGTTTTGCTTAGTTGGCATCTTACGTGTTCGGCATGGCTATAACCACAAGATTCGCATAAGGTCCCATATTTCTTGTGCCCTAATTTGAAGAGTTGAAGAAGAAGAGAAGAAGATGTCGTCGCAAGCCTCATTTACCTCCACTTCAAACAACCGAATCATGTGCTACTGTGGGCTCCCTACTCGGATTCGAGTCTCCACTACACCACAAAATCCGGGGAAAAGATTCAGAACATGCCCTAATTCGTTGGTAATGTCCAATTTTTAAGATTGAAGCTTTTCTCTTTAAATCTCTATTATAAGTGTGTTAGTTATGACATTTATCCTAAAGCTTTGTTTTTTTTTTTTTCATTTAGAGAGCAGGGAGAAAATGTGGATTTTGGGAATAGGTTGCTGAAGATCCGGTCACAGAGGATATTTTTGGTCTTAGATATGAGTTGAATGAAATGAAGAAGAAGATGCATCACCATAAAGTAGCATTGATTGTGTTGTTTGTCTTGTTTTTTGTTAAGTTATTTTGAATGGAATTATGATGCAGTAGACACTTTTGAATATAACGGTACCCATAATTTTGTTTTTTTATTGTAAGGGTACCCATAATGTATTTAAATCGTATGTATGAATGTTAATGAAGCTTTTGGTAATGAAATCTATCATTGTAATACAAACACCACTTTAAAGTGTATGATTCAACATTGAAGGGTAATCTTATCAACAACAATTATAATGAAGCAGTTAATTATATTAAAGGGTAGTATTGTCAACAACAATTATAATGAAGTAGTTAACTATATTAAAGGGTAATATTGTCAACAATAATTATAATGAAGCAGTTAACTATATTAAAGGTTAATATTGTCAACAATAATTATAATGAAGCAGTTAATTATATTAAAGGGTAGTATTGTCAACAATAATTATAATGAACAACCAAATTGAACATAATGTAATGAACCAAGATGATTCAACAGAAAATATAATCAACCAAATTGTCAACATCTGCAAAGTATATGATTCAACAACCAAGATGCAGTTAAAAGATTTAACAGATGCGGTTAATAGATTTAAATAGAAAATTTATTAAAGGGTAATATTGTCAACAAGCAAACACTCTTAAAAAGGTGTTCTTATTCACCATCAAAAGAGCATCAAAAGCTGGAGTGGTTTGTCCCTTAGTCTACTACAAAATCACATTTAATATCAAAAGATTCCACCCTCACATGCTTACCTAACACCCCACATGCATACATAAGAAAACAAAATATTACAACATAAAACTTGCAATCAACCTAGATCTACAGGATTCCCTGAGCTACAACCACTACCATCCTTGGTCACCACTTTTTTCCTCAGGCACTGCTTGGTGATTCTTTCAGAAGCTTTCCTCTTCCTCACTTGAACTGCTCTACAAAATGGTCTTGCAGAAGTAGATCTTCGCCTTTGGTGTGGAGTGGATCTTGGAGTTGGATGTGGATTTTTAGAAGTTGGAATTGGAGTTGGAGTTGGAATTGGGGTGGTTCTTGGAGTTGGAATTGGAGCTGGAGTTGGAATTGGGGTGGATCTTGGAGTTGGAATTAGAGCTGAAGTTGGAATTGGAGTTGTAATTGGAGTTGGAATTGGAGTTGATCTTGGAGTTAGAATTGGAGTTGGAGTTGAAGATGCAGGATCCGGATCACCTGTGGTTGGATTTTTTTTTTTTTGGACACCCTTTTTTGTTATGCCCACTAACATAGCAGATTGAACACTTTTGCACCTGCTTTACTCTTGATATTATGTGTGTGCTTGATATCTCCATTTCTCCTACACTTTTTCTCCTCTTAGTAGATGGCCTTCCAAGTAGCCTTCTACTCTTTGGGGGTAAAGGCTTTGTGTAGTCACTTTGTGTCCACAGAGAGCTATCATTTAAAGGATGAATAATATATTTATAGCATTTGAGATAAGTTGCCTTACTGTAACAACTAGCTACATAATCCTCTAAGTTCAAGTTCATGGATGAAATTGCAGCCACTCCATGTACACAAGGTATGCCAGTCAACTGCCATCTCCTACATCCACAAGTCCTTCTAATCAGGTCAACTGCATACCTATCATTACATAACACCACCTCAAATTGTTGATATCCACAAGGGTACACTGCCCAGAATCTTTACATAAACATTAAACAAGTAAGAACACATGAACAAATGTATATTTATGCTAAATAACAAGTAAATACAAACATTCTTACCTCTGTTTGTCCTTCAAATCTGCTATTTTCTTCCTAATGGATGGGCATATAGTTAAATCCCAAGACTTTCCCTTAGTCCTCTAATAGTATAACCTCTGCATCACATAAACCCTGATATCCTCCAACATTGCTATTATTAGTTTATGTCTAGCATCAACTATATCAGCATTAAAACTCTCTGAAATTCCATTTTCAATAGCATCACAGAATACCCCTTCTATTTGAAAAGCCCTACAATAACATTTAGGGTCCCTCTCCATGAGATAATTAAATGCCCTACTATCTAATTCCTTGATCTCTTTCATAGCAGCTTCATGTTTCTGTTTTGTGGTAGCCTTCACAGCCTTCCAAAAAGGCTTGATAAAATGCTCACCTTTGAACCTTGTGTTAAAGTTGGCTAGTATGTACCTAGAACATAATCTGTGCTCAGCATGAGGAACCCTTTCCTTGATAGCTTCAATTAAACCCTGCCCAATTTACAATGTTAAATAATTATTAAACTATAAAGTTAAGAGTAAACATAAGTAGTACCTTGTGTCCATCAGAGAGAATAGTAAGTCCATTTCCATTGCCTCTTTTAATATCATCCATCAGTAGATCAAGGAACCATTTCCATGTTTCTTTGTTCTCAACAGTTACAACAGCCCAAGCTATAGGGAACATGTGATTATTGGAATCCCTATCCACTACAGCTAAGAGTTCACCCTTGCAAATTCCTTTGAGAAAGCATCCATCAATCCCAATGACTCTTCTACACACCTTTACCCAACCATCTCTTACACCTCTGAAGCATACATAGAACCGTTTGAACATTGTACTTCCATCAGGCATATGGTCCACTTCCATGCTTACAGTTGATCCTGGAGTAGCTCTTTTGATTTCAATGCCATAGTCCCACAACCTACTATAATGCTCTTTCAGATTGCCTTCAATCTCATACAATGCAAACCTTTTTTCATTTCTACATTTTCCAATGCTAAATATGATGTTGTATGTGTTTGAGATTTGAGCTTTAATCTTCCTCAAACTAAGCTTGGGGTTTTCTATAAGTACATTGAAAAATTGTTTCCCTATCCACTTGTAAGTCACTAAGCCTATTTTAAAACTCTACCACAGTTATGAGTTGATTTAAGTGACTTGATCGGAAAAGTCCTTTCCTCTTGCATCCAAGAATCCTATAACCTAAAAGGACATGTAGGTTCTTTACCTTTGCAACACTTCAGTAGAAGTCTGTTTTTATCATTCTTTTCATACCACAAATCATAACCATGCTTAACAGCATAGTTGGTAAGACAATGTTTGAGTTCACTAGGATTGGTGAATTTCATACCTAACATAGGAGCCATTTGATCCCATTGTTGCTTAGAATTGTGCACAGGGTACACAGGAGGTAGTTGCTCAGCAGTAGAATCTTCTTCCTCTTCATCATTTAGGCAAAGTTTGTTCAAAAACATGTCTTTCTTCTGCATACTTTGAATACTTGCTCTTGCCCTTTTCATAGAAAACTCCTCATCATCCATCTCGTGTTCACAACCCTCTTTATCTATTACGTGAACTTCATCTTCGTTGGAGTTGGTATCATCTTCAACTTCAGGCTCTTCCATTTCAATCCAGTCAAACAGGGGTTCATGCATATGGTCCACATACACAGTTACTTTCTTTTTGTCATGAAGATACTCAAGAAATTCATGATAATCACAATCGTTTTGCAATGTGGCAAATCCTTGACACAATGTTTAGCCGTCTGGACAATAGTATACATCTTTACACATCCTTCTAGTAATCAGCTCTAGGTGATCAATGAATTCATAATACCTTTTTTCCCTGAAATTGGTGTACCGTATCTCCTTTTTATCTGGATCAAAATACGTAAATGGCCTCGGGAAGAAGTGCATGTTGTATTGGACTTCAACGAACAATGCATCATCTTTATCCATCTGATCTGATCGAGGTTTCTCGAAGAAAGAACAGTGAGAGTGAAGAGATAGAGATGGGGGATTTGTCCTGCCCTAATTTATGGAAATAAATACACACGCAACACTTAAATAATGTCAACTAATCATCCACGTAATGGTTTAACAGGAAGAAGCCGGTTAAATGACTATTTATAAGCGGTTATTAGAACCTTAATGGTGTAATACACATAAAAAAAATGTTAAGGACCTAAAATGGACAAATGAGAAACGTTATTACCCTCCTGAATCAATATCCCTAAACTCAAAGGTTTCAAGTGGCTCCCAAATAAATTTTCATCAATTTTTTTATCTTTGTTCGGTGTCCTAAACTCATAAACTTAATATAATTTTTTTTTATTTTCATAATCTTAATATCATTGATTGTAATAATAGTATTATAATTTATAATTTTATAATTGTAAAAATATTTTAATATATTAACATGAAAATTTGAAGATAGAAAAAAAATATTGAGTTAAATACATATTATATCGCAACGTTAATGAGAGGGAAAAAAAGTAACTAACAATTTACTAATAATAATGATTAGGCAAGGTATACTAGATTGGTGTTTAATAGAGTGGTGTGTAGAAAGAGAATCCATTTTTTATCTGGCATTCCTACCCTCCAAACATGTAACATTCGTTGGAATTTACCAATTTCTCGCACATAATTATCAAAATGTCATATCATCTCGCGAGATTTTAATGATAAATAAAATCAAATTTTCATCTTTTATTTATTCAATCTTACGACAAAGATTTGTCATTACAGTTCTCATCAATTTTTGAGTCATCATCTGATTATATATATATATATATATATATATATATATATATATATATATATATATATATATATATATATATATATAACACCGTAAATTTTCAAACCAAATTTTCGTTTAAAATCACATAATTCTCATAACACATTTCAACCAAAAATCCCATTTATTTAATTTACAAAACACAACTCTATAATTATTTAATTAATAATCCAGGATCCTAAAAACATAACTTTTTCTCTAGTGTGTACAATCAAGCCGACATCTTCCCGCGATCCTGATAAGAACCAGAAACACATAACACATAACACGGTAAGCACGAAGCTTAGTAAGTTCCCCAAAATACCACATACACCTATTAGCCACTCGAGGCTATAACACAGTAAGACCTTCCGGTCAATGTGTCTCAGTGGGACCCTTCGGTCCCATAACTTAAGTGGACCCTCCGGTCCTTGCTCTGATGGACCCTTTGGTCCTAACTCTGTAAGCTCAGAATAATACACAGTATAAATCACATAGACATAATGCAGGATATCACAGTACTCAAATTAACACATAAGACCCTCCGGTCACACAAAAGTACCACTCTAGGTAAAGTATAGTGAAAATACCCACCTCGCAAGTAGAGTAAGCAACTCCTGCACCCGACCTACTAATCTAATCCCCGCCTAACATATGTCACAGTTGCCACCAATTAATACATGACATGAATATCCCATAAATGTTAGGTCAACTCCTCTACTAAATCCCAGGAGGGTAAAAAGACCATTTTGCCTATCAAAAGTCCACATTTGCTCGAAACCCAAAAAGTCAACACACGAAGCTTACGTTAGGCGTACATCTCCCTACGTTGAGCGTACGGCCAGCCATGCATGCATCGGGGGTGGCTTTGTGCGATGATGCGTGTAGCTAGGAGTACGCTCCGCGTACGTCCCATTCTTGTTTATTCCATTATGTTGGTCTTAACTCATTAAGACAAAGACGACCATCTCAGATCTTGGTCACATAAGGTCTCTTATACAATAAAGTTGGTGACTTTAAGCCCTATCAAGGCTATACAAGTATAGATCTGATAAACTTTCACTCATTCACCATAAAAATCCACATATCTCATAGATGGGGGAAATCTGAGTTTGATCAACTCATAAAGCTTCAAGCTTTGGGGATATAAATCCTAAATGGACCATTAAATGAACTATGCAAGAATAGGAGCAAAGTTTTGTGCTTGGTACCTCAGACTAATGCTCCATCCACAAGGAAACTCATCTCCAAAAGCTTGAACATCAACTCTTTCTTTCTTCAAAGTTCCTTCTTCACAAAAGAATCCCACAAGATCATTCCATAAGCTTTCAATGCTCACACAAGCTAAGAAACGAGATTTAGGGTATTGAGAGAAGTAGGAAACTGGAGATGGTGGCTAGAAATGAAGGCATAATGTTCCTTAAATAGGGATACTCAAAAACATTAGGGTTTCTTCCAGGACCAAGTATGCCCAGCGTACCCTCTGGTACGCCTAGTGTACTTGGTGGCCTTCGAATTTCTTCCACGCACATGAGTATGCCAAGCGTACCCATAATTTCCCCGCGTACTCAATTGCCCTACATTTCACAATAAGGACAAAACTTGCCAAATCTTCAAATTATAGTGGCTCCTTCATTACAAGTCCGTTTCCATCAAACCTTATATCCACGGAACGGGGACCAGAAGCCCTACGCTTCTAGCAACTCGTCGCATCCCCAAAGCTTCCTCATGCCCGGGCTGCAACTGTTGGATTTTGAGCAATCTAACACTTCCTAAGTGTGCATGCAACCCCTAATAAACCTTGGATCTATGTTTGTCTAAATACATGCAAAATATTAAATTTTCCAAGGTTTATAACCTATCTAACATGGCATGGGGAACATTTCAACATAAAAGAGTTAGAAGAGATTACATACCTTTTGGTGAGTTTGGTTCTAAGGAGTTTGAGGGCCAAGCACCAATAGTGTGAATGCCTCAAATGGAATCACAAAACACCACAAACTCTTGGAAAACTTTGAGAGAGTATACACACTTGTATAAATTCGGCCACACACATGCACGCACACACTAGTTCACTAGTTCTCCCTTAGGCTCCATTTCATGCTCCATAAGCATGCTTATATAGTGTGCATGGTTAGGGTGAAACCCTAATAACCCATGTCTTTTCCTTTCCAAGGATCCATGGGTTAAAAGCTCCATGGATCATCCATGGACTTCCACATAAGCCTAGCCCATTAACAAATGAGTATTATCCCACACTATATAAAAACAAATAGCCCATAATCTAATTAGTCTTCCTTTTAATCTCTAAATTAATTCATAATTAATTTAAGACTAAAACTAATTAAATAACGTAACTTCATATTAATATATTATAACTTATAATATATTAATAAACATATGTGTATAACTCTCATAAAATTATCCATAATAGTTTGGATGAGATGCAACCCAAATGGACCATGCTGGTCGGGTCAAGTATATACCAAATAAGTTATGGACTTAGACACCTTATCCAACAGACTCCCACTTGGATAAGTCTAATAACTGTATTTGCCTATAACTTCAGGAACCAACCAGCAATCGTAGCTCTCGAAAACTCCGTCGAACTATGAAGCGCCATTTTAAGACAAGTAATCACATAATCCTCTGTTCTCATGATATCAGCCGGACAAACACATGGAACTATGTCTTGCTTATTGTCTAGCATTTGTTTCTCGATTTTCTGATTTGTTTGATGAAGAACTTCACTGAACACATCGGTTTAGTTCTGACCGGGCCCGGTACATGGGTCAACACAAAAATCATCGAGGGGCCCAGATATCGCTTCTATTTCTAGAAGGAACAGATAAACTTCGACTGATATGCTTGTTCTACTACTTATTGAATTGTACACAAAGGCACGTTTTATAACATCAAGTTACTGATGCGTTTTTGTGCAATCAATGCACAACCAACTCATAGGAAACAACTCATATCTCTAGGTTTAAAGATTTATATGATGTTATCGTCTCACGATCACTCGAGATAAATTCCATGAAGTGATACAAGTGAGCGTGGGTTTATACCAATACTCATAACTTATGAGTACTCATGAATGTTGCAGCAACCATTGCCATGTCTAAACACCTTTTAGCCATCTACAAACCCAATTCATGACAATCTTGATTCATACCTACTTTCGACGTATGATCGATTGTGGAGATTTGAATAAATTAATTATTCTGGAAGTCAAAACATGCAAAACTGAAACTATAGTAAATAATTGACAATGATAGTAATACTTTACTCATAAATAAATCACAAATTTTATTCATCATCAAACGTTGATTACATTTTACAAGTTTCAGGAAAACTATCTAATCTGTAAAACTAATATCGTCCCTCAGCCCGATGCGTCTCGCATGCTGAAAATGCTTAACCCTCATCAGTCCCTTCGTAAGGGGATCTGCAGGATTCTCATCCGACGATATCCTCCTTGCCACAAGGAGTCCTTCTTCAATCTTGTGTCTTATGAAGTGATATTTTCTGTCAATGTGTTGGGATCTGCCATGATCTCTTGGTTCCTTGGCTAAGGCAACCGCACTATTGTTGTCACAGAAAATCTCCATAGGTTCCTTAATAGCTGGTACAACTCCAAGGTCTCCGATGAAGTTCTTTAGCCATATCGCCTCCTTCGCTGCTTCACTCACTGCTATATACTCTGATTCACAAGTCGGATCAGCCACCGTCTCCTGTTTGGAACTCTTCCAAGAAATTGCCCCTCCATTTAAGGTAAAGATCCAGCCCGACTGTGAGCGGAAATTATCCCTATCAGTCTGAAAAATAGCATCACTATACCCTAATACTCTCAAGTCATCACTCCCACCAAGGG